CCCCCCCACCACCACAAAGATTGGTGGTAAAGAAGTGGACAAAGCGAACATGGAGTGCGCATTCCAGAGCATAGCAAAGGTACAGTACTTCCAAGATTAGGACTACAAAGGGTTGGTTCAAACGCATGTGCGGGCGGTATCTATCATGGGAATTATAGTTGTAAAATGCAAATGCATCATCTCTACTCATTATTTATGGGAGAGCAGGCAATTTGGGTGCAGGCTTTTTTGAACATGACATTCAAAATGTACTTCAGGTGCGTATGAGAAACGGCCATTTACGAGGCTGTGGCTTAAATATTAGTAGGCATATTGATGAAATAAGGATGATTATACGTTAATTAATTTCCCTTCTTACTATTTACAGCAATGTGAATGTGAATTAGAATTATTTCTCTTTAGTTCCAAATCCCCCATTGTTTCGTGCAGAGGAGTGCCTATCAGAGGGTAATATCATCACATTGGTGTGGCAACCTTGCCCTGGAATCGGCATTGATTACTACACTCTGGAGATTGATGATGGAGCTGGTGGAGCCTTCCGAGTAAGCTGAGCTACTTTATTCTTTTATGATAGATTCGGATAAAAGCACAGTTCAGTAGCGCAAAATGGTTGATCCGAGTTGACTATTGACGCAACGGCTTTGCGAAAAGTTCAACTGTCCTCACGAAACCAAGTTATGTTGCCTATCTTGATGACTTTCATCATATTAGGTGTGTCGAATGCGATTCAGATGAATAAAAATCCCATATTGTTAGCATTTGTTCTGTCTTTGACGTCATTCCCAAAGTTATACATATATATATATATATATCAAATGACAGGCTTTAAATATTATTACTTATTTATTTTATGTATTTGATGTATTTATATCAAATGGCAGGCGTTTAAATTATCATTATTACTTATATCAAATGGCAGGCGTTTTGGTAGTTATCATTAATTTATATCAAATGGTAGGCGTCTTGATGGCTATCATTACCGTTTATTTCAAATGACAGGCGTTTTGATAGATATCATTAGAATTAGTTGACTTTCAGGCTTCACAGAGGGGAAGGAACATCAACTAGTTGACTTCAGGCTTCACAGAGGAGGAGGAACATCAAATCGAAAAAGTAGAGAGGGGAGGGGTGAACAGAAGGGTGTTTTAAAGATGTAAAAGGGACAGACACAAAGGTAGATGAAAGGTGAGGTGAGCACTGTGAAAGTGGTCGAATATGACTTCAGTGGGGTCGTGGTAGTTTGAAGTCAGAAGTCAACTGCCAGCTTATAGACTTTTTGGCCGCATGAGTATACGTTGCCCAGGGTGCACCACGTGGAGGTAAATCTATCGCACACCCCTCATTCCCAAAGTTAAAACATGTACGAATAGTCAGTAAGATCGTCCACACCAATTGCACAGCCTGAGTCAGACAACTTTAACGAGGTCATTTGTGTACGTCGATTTACCATGGACAACGTGACAAACTTGTGGTCACGTGATCTAGATTCATGGACTGATTCGTTGGTCTAGACAAAGAAGAGAATAGAATAGGAGTTACTCAGTCCGGTGAACTTATTTATTTCAAATGGTAGGCGTTTTGATAGCCCTTTAGCTGACTTCGGACTTTACAGAGGGGAGGAGGAACATCATAGGGAGAAAAATTCGACAGGGGGGGAGGAAAGAAGAGTGATTCACAAATGTAAAGAGA